GCAATGGCTTGGTTTTGGCGTGTGAGCACTGCTCTCTCCGTACCAATATCTCTTACGCTGGATCAGCTGCAAGAGTTTATCCAATGGGGTCTAATAAGAGGTCATCAAAACTGTATAGAGGATGGTCGAGCTATAATTGGTCGACTGGCTAATCAGGACGAGCGGGATAAGTGGGAAAAGATGATAAACTATGCAGATTGGGCTCGGAGGACCCTTGCTGGTGGTATCGGAATGCCTCATTTTGTGCCTCGGAAGCTACGACGACCCTATGATCTTGATGATATTTCGATTCTTGAAGCCCAAATCAAAGAAGAGATTGGAGCCGCATATAATTCCAGTTTACGGAAGAACAGCCCTTCGGTCGCTATTGACCAGAGTGCTGACTCCGCATCAAGTCAAACTTCACCGTTCGATGAAATCTTTGTCAATCACAAGGGCCACGGTCTCTTGCATTTTGCTGCTGCCCAGGGAAACCTGGAAGCGCTGAAGTACATGATTGAGACATATCTGTGTGATATCGATATTCCGAATAAATCACTCTCTGAATCGCCTCTTGTATGTGCTTGTCGCAGTGGCCATTTTGACTGTGCCATGTTTCTCCTCGAGCGTGGTGCCAAGGGTGACTCAATAGAGTTTGGTGAAGAAACGCCCTTGCATTGGCTTTCCAGCTTCACTCCTGACCAAATGCCTTTCCTTGTGAAAGAACTTCTAGGTGCTGGTGCAAACATAGAGCATGCATGTAGAACAATGCGAAAGGATGTCAGAATGATCAATGCAGATTGGGAAGATAATTTTGGCATCCAAAACACCCCGCTAGGGAGAGCGGTGCTTATGAGAAGCCTTCCTGCTGTAAAAGTCCTCCTCGAGTTTGGTGCGAACCCACTGGCGAAGGTGGGACATGAAACGGGCATTACAGTAAAATCTCCTATTGAACTGGCGGCTGTTCTCACTCTTCCCCATATATTGGAAGCCATGCTAATGTACATCGATCAAACGTTATCGGAGAAACCACTCATATTTAACGAGATTGGAATGTTACAAGCCGCCCATGAAAAATCCATAACACCATATGATCCAACCGCGTTACAAAGCAGGCTTGTCCGCTGTGGTGCCGATTACAAACTTTTAATGTTTCAAACACTTAAGATGCTACAACGAAGGCATGAGAAACTCCGGGACTGGAGAAATATAGACACCAGACGACCGGTTGAAGGCATGGCGTTGTGCCAGGAAGTGAAACTTGGAAATACTGATATTGTGGAGGCGTTATTGGAGCTGGGGCACGATCCAAATGGCTCACCTGGTTATCGACCTATTGAGGAGGCAGTTATGATGAACCACATAGCTATTTTCCGGCTTCTGGTAAATCATGGTGCAAGAACAGCTGTAAAACGTGCCGTTCACAATGGAAAGCAGTTCTCTTTGCTTCAACTCTTGGCTAGCCGTCCACGGACATCTCCCGATGGTACTTTTATAGCAGAGTATCTTGTCAGATTGGGAATGGCTATCGAGCCATTACCTGACGGTAGCCCTTCGAGTCTAGTTCTTGCCATAAAAAATCGCTATTTCGATCTTGCTAGTTTCCTTCTGGACAAAGGAGCTGATATTAACGCCATCTATCAGCTCGGCAGAGAGGGGGAATGGGTTACCGTCCTTGATGAACTTCTCCTGACACATACAGAGGGGACGTTAGAAGCAATGGACTATATCTTTGGTAGATCGGCTGTCAATTCTGCCAATGTGAGTATCTCCCAAGTTCTGCTTATTCTTGATGGAAACTAAGTAAACTACCCTAGTCCGTTCACAAAGTAGATTTCGTTGTCAACAAAACTAGGAATCTCACAGCTCTCCACGTTCTCGCGCTCTGCCCTGCAAACATTATAAACGACAAATCACAAATCTCAGCCAGAACTATTCAATCCGTTCTCACAGCCTTCCATGCCGCAGGGGATATTAATTGCGTTCACCCTACGTTAGGTACTGCATTATGTATCGCTAGCGTTACTGGTAATATTGAAATGGTCACTGCTCTTCTATCCCACAAGGCTGACACGGCAATCCCAATGCGAATCGATCGATTAAGCGAAAGTGATATAAAGTCTTTGGGATTATTTGATAGAGACGACGTTAAGAAGAAGTGGGGAACCGGGGACCTGACTCCCCTGCTCCTGGCACTAGCAGCATTTGAGTTACGCTTTTCCGAATTAGAGAAATCGACTACGCTGTCAACCGATAGCTTGTTGGAACTTGAGCGCTTTGCATCTATACTTCCCCAATTGCAATCCTCCGGAGCATCCTCCGATGCAGCGTGGTTATCATTGCAAGATAGGAGACAACTCCTGGAAGACAGGATCAAACTAAGTACCTCGATGGTGCAGCTAACGGCTACTGACGTGTTTGAGCCTGCGGATCTCTCTGTGTTAACGGAGGAAAAACCGACAAATTGGAAGGAAGGGGAGGAGATGAATCAGCAAACGGCGACGAGGACCATGCTGAAGTATATGAGAGGAGGATTTGATTGAGGTTTGGCAAATATGATCTCTTGTTTGTGCGATTTCCGCTGACATTGAAATATCCCATAGCCATATCTACCGCCACAGACTTTTGGGAGAAGCCTAACTGGTTATTACTGTTGTAGGTCACCTATGGTCGTTAGAACTAACTAATTTTGGGGCATTTCAACTTATATTGCTTTTGGAACTGGCCCTTTGGTGTTGTAACAACATACTCTGATCTAACGGGTTTCTTACTGCTTGGATAACATACCCAGGTACGGACATATCCAAATAAAATCCGGTACTAAGATATTCCAAGACATGAAACACGAAATACCGAATGCCAGTACTTCAGCCACTGGATTAATCAACGGGTTTGCTCCCGTAGACAATTATGTAATTCGTTGTTTAACAATGACTGCTGAGCGGAGATAATAAGACACTAGGTGACAAACAGAACGGATGTAGGATAGGAACACTGTCCGATACCAGAACAAATCATCCAGTAGTTTAACCAGCCAGATAAATGTATTTCTCCGCAATTACCATCGCCATGCTCAAGCCCATCGCCACGCATAATCCATAATTCGCGCACACTGATGAGCCTTTTCCAGCCCGATGTTCTCCAGGTGCCCATCCTTCCACACCTCCAACTCACTCACCAGAAACAACGACGCATCCAACCCACAACTGATTCCTCCAGAGCTAATAACTCTCACAGCACACCCGGAACGGTCTGCCAGAACCCATCTCTTTGAATTTAGTTGCCCGGCCTCGTAACCGACATACCCTCCTTCTCCTATATCTGGATCAACAATAGTCCCCTGACCCCCCCTTTGGCAATATTCCTTCAGCTGCTGGAGACCCGAATAGTGAGTAGTGACGGTTAAATTACTGAAAGCTCCCGAGAGCCCAGCGATCAACGCCCCTGTACATATAGACATGAGAACACGTCGACAGCCCCGGGGGGAGAGTGTTTCCAGTTGAGAAAATCTCAAGAGCAGCTGCAGATGTTCGTCCACGGATTCTCGATCCAAGCCAACTTGGGTAGGATTTTCCAGATACTTCTGTATCGCAGATACAGCACCACCAGGCTGGATGACAATTTCATATTGTTCAAGCTGCTGCAGTGCCTCACAGATACTCAGATCCTGAACAACGGGGATTTTCTCGGCGCTGAGTGTTTTTTTGGAGGCTGTGGCAATATCGAAAGTTATGGTGACACCACCGATGGCGGCGCCCTTGCCCAGGACTTCGATTGGAGCATAAACATCCAATGTGTCGAATTCTGGAAAAGGGAGAATGAGGACTTTCAAAGAGTTCGACGCGGACATGTTGGTCTGTGAGCAAATGTGTGTTTTCTGCTTGGCTTCAATTAATGAAACTCAACGACTGCGGAAGGTGACTAAATACGATAGAAATTTTGGAGGTACTGAATCAAAGGAGGGCGGGGACAGAGGAGCTCTGACTTTATATCTAGCGCTAACTCCATGATCTGGCAATCCATGCTGTTGGCAAGATGCGAACTCGATTGGCTGACTGGCATAAACCGTTTGCCGTTATTCATCTTTTCTCCCAAGGTAGTTCACATCTCTGACCGGGTCGAAGACATAGATGGGTGTAGAGACGCTCCGTCATTAATTTAAAAATTGGACTCTCTTAAACCTCCCACCATCCACCAGTCATTGTAATTGTCAGGCAGATGTTTGTGGCGATCCCATATCTGACGCCTGGTTTATTTAGAAACTCTTGTAATCCCTGAAACCTTAACTTTAAACCGACTCAATTGGCGTAGATCAGACGAAATAGAATAGAGAAGGTTGCATTTAAAAAACGAGACTGCCAGTAGTGGGGAGGAAATCCTGGAGGAGAGAGAGATCCATGTGTATGCGTCCGCAAGTGTGCAGGCAAGGTGGTGTATTTCGAGCCTAGGAATGCAAGTTGAACATGGATCCAACCAAATGTCAGGTCTGAAAATGTCTGAAAATTCAGATGCCTGACAAACCCAACTTATAAGCCCTTATTGGTGACATCTTCTTACTTCATCAATGGGTACAATGCGATTTGCCAGAAGAGGGATCGTGTTCGTCACAGACTGACGTGACCTGGTAAGAACGTTAAAGGCTTGATACGAAATCTACCAACACTTGACAGTTATTTATTGGAAACAGAGCATTTATTGCTCTGCCTTAACCAGGATATCATGATGCAATGCGGACAAAACCAATGCATTTGCATCCGGATTTTTTTTTTTTGGTTGACAGTTTCCACACCACAACGTTTTGCCATCTCCACAATTAGACAAACACCCCTCCAAACTCTGTTCATTAGCAGTTCAACTGTAGGTATTACTGTAAAGAGTATCCGAGATGGCAAAAACAAAGATTTCCCCCTAACTGAGTAGTGAAATATAACCATCTCTGCTAAACCATACGCAACCCAACTTTATAATTCCAATCCAATTTTCAGTCCGTCGATCGTAAATCGAAAATGTAATAAGGCAAATCAATACCATCCTCCTCTACCCCAACCACCCCTTACATCAGAGCTACCTCCCCGACCACCACCAGAACCATTCGCATCTCCACAATGACTGGGAGGGGTTCCACGCCCTTGTCCCTGTCCCACATGCGGAGACGGGAAATGGTATGATCCGGGATGTAACTGTTGATCAGATGGTGGAGGTGGTGGCGGATGTGGATGGGCAGAGAACTGCGGCCCCCCGGGCCCGGCTTGGTGTTGGAACGCGGCTGGATTATTGAAGCCCGGAAAGTTCATATCCACACTCATGGGTGGTAAATGTGGTGGGAACGGTGGCGGTGCGCCAGGATGCTGTGAGGGCGGAAGGGGTGGGGGTGGAGGTGGCCAGGGTCCAAGATAGCCTGATGGCTTTGGCGGAGGTGGGGGAATAAACATGCCTCCTGAACCCAGGACTGTTGGGTGTGGGGGAGGAAATTGTTGGGTTCCATTGAATGGGTAGGGGATTGTGGGTGGAGGCAGAATATGCGGAGTTGCTCCTGGAGGCGGCGGGAAGGGTGGACTTTGTTGCTGGGGTGGAAAACGTGGCGGAGATAACGGGCGAGGAGAGTATGATTTTGATCTTGTACCTGATCTACGGTGTCCGGCACGTCGTGGGGCAGTGCGAGATCGGGATCGCGAAATGGAGCGCGAATTAGAGCGGCTTCGACTACGATGGGGAGATATCGATGAGCCTGGTGATTTTGATCTTTCCCTATCATCACTGCTGATGCTATCGCTGTATCGTCGCCGCTTCCTTGTATCATAACTCCGGCTGCGGCTGCGACTTCGACTTCGATTCCTACTCCCGAATCTGTCTTGTCTCCTTTTCATTTTCTCGCAGAACGAGCGCGACCAACCATAGTATGTTTCTCCATCGATGATTTCTCCAGTCATTTCGTCACGGACAACAACCTGACCAAGCTCATCGATGTCCACCTCATGTCCATCTGCCAACATATCACTATTGGAGTTATATATCTTGTCCACATCATCTAAGAAGTTCTTCACAGCCGACACCAGAGATTCATCAGCGGGCCCCGCAAGGAACTGAAGAGGCTTGACTGCATGCGGTCTAATCGGAACGGTGGAGTTTGGAATTATAAGGGGCATTAAATTTCCCGCAGGTAGTTCGTGATAGGGCGTGGAAAGGTCCCCGTGTGTCGCTGGCATTATATAGGGAGCATCTCTCAAAACAGCTTTGATTGGAGTATCAGAATGGGATCCCTTGGGGGCAGATTTTGAATTCAGCGCATCGGGAGAAGATGAATTATACACCGTCTCGCGAAGTTTGTTGATATAATCGCTACTATAGTAGCCATTGCTACCCCATATATCGAGAATCTCGTCCAATCGCTTGTGGTGTTTTGGGTTTTCCTCGCGACCATAACCAGATGCGAAGCTGATAAGCTCCACTAAAAATGGCTGAATTGAACCGCTGAAACTTGAAAAAGACGACGTCGTTTGTTCATGATATTTAGTGTGATGCAACAGGTCGTTTAATAAATACAGGATATGCAATCGTTTCCGCTTTGAAGAGGTTTTCGAGGTTTCAACCACGGGCTGTCCATCAACTGTGGGTTTTTTATCACTAGGATCGAAGGATCCAGACAGAGTGACAAGGTATTTGCCTAGAGCCCCGATTCTTGCTGCAGAGGGGATGACATTTTTCAAAAGCCACGATTTGCAATTCTAGCGTATATATCCGGATCAACAATTTAGTAAACCCATTTAACGCCGACATAAGGAGTCATTGTTCAAACCTGGATGTTTCCTGGAGAGCATTGTGCCAGCGCCTTGTCGAGGGCGTTATGGAAAACGGCGATCTCATCGCGGTGCACGGATGTGGGATCTGATCGCAAAAGCCCAGCCGAGAAAGTAGCTTTCGCAATTGCAACCAGATGAGACGTCATGGCAGGTATAACTCTATGCAAAGCAGTCCTTGTTCCATCTGCGAGTTGTTGTTATCCTGACCGCAGATTTCGAATGTCGCTGAAAGTTACTGTTTTGTGGAAGGCATTAATATCACATGACCCAATATATGCGATTGCCAAATCACGTGGAATAATTGTCATGTGGTCTCTTTTTTTGGGTGGTTTCGAGGCCTCATTGGCTCGGCTTCTCCAAGGTCACCCTAACCGGTTATTTTTCACTTCCAATGACACCAACACCAACCGTCAGCCAGTCGAAACAAGAGAATAATAGAGGCGCGGAGGCATGGGAGCTTCAAGACCGCATCGTTAGATCATTGACTTGGAGGCCCATCAGCATACTGAAGGATGGAGCGATGCGGATATGCTTCTTCCAGGCCAAGATTCAAAGTCATAACAGTCATCCAGACCCATGGTTCACTATGGATCCATCCCGCCTCTCGTGCTTCGGTTAGCTCTTATCCGATGAAATGGAACCACGATCATCAATGATACGATCGGGGAGCAGTGTTCTGACACAGATGGACCCATCCATGGCGATACAACGGAGTAATATCTAATTGCGTTATCTATTCTTCAATCCACATTAGCCAGCTGTTCAAAGTCAATCACAGGCTAAACAATGCAATATCTCACCAACAGCCACTGCAATTGAAGATATCCATCAGGTCATGGGGGGGTCGAAGTCGCTGACGGACGTTTTGTTGGGAATGCTACATTCCCACTACTATCAGTTGGGAATCAGCCCCGCACCCGCAGACGCTCACTTATTCTGCAGTGGCAGTTTTGGTGGAGCCGCAATTGAAGCAAGGCAGGCCTGATATGAGGACATTACCGTCATTAATAATTCGAACCAGATAGCGTGATTCTAGTGATTCTGGCGCTCCAAGCAACTATCTAAGGCCAGGGAGAAAACAGCTGTATATATATATATATATATATATATGTACGATAGCATCAGCTATCGATGTAGAAGAAATCTCACATATTCCATAGAAGTTGTAGTTGCCCTTCTTTATTGTTTGCATCTTTTTGCTGCGTAGCAAGATTAAGGTTGGTTCTGTTTTCTCCTTGGTTGAATGCGTCTCCCGAACCGTGGACCTTACGTTGGACTTTAATCTACCTCCGACCTTCTAGCCCATCCGTCACAACTACATATTGCATATAAAATTCCCATTTTACCACTACTACATCCTCTTGCTCTTTTCCCGTCCTTTGGAAGCTAATCAGTTAACCTCTCAAGCACCTCAGAGCCTTCCGACCTCTCACAGATCTCCAACCAACCCCTCAACCCCTCAACCTTCTAATTCCTAGTTGATTCCAATTTGCTCTCAAGTCAACCCCCGATCTAACGGGCGCCCAAGTCTTTACCCAACATGCCTCCCTCAGCAGCTATGCTGCGCACCTCAATCCGCCAATTCTCTTCCCGGACGCCAAAACCAGAAACACGCACTGATAAGATCCTCACAATGTCTGGTATCGTCTCTCTAGTCGTGGTTCCGTTCATCCCACCTGCTATCGAAAGCTCCCGCGAGAAGAAGCTCGGGAACCCACATTCGAATAGGTGAGTTCTTCAATTCTTTATTGTTTGAATTTTTCATCTTTGGTATCTATTTACATGTATACAAAGCTGACAATAATGCACTTACTTTTACCATCTAGATATCCTCCTCTCTGCTTCCACTCTCGCTAGCAAGTGGAGTAACAGGAAAATCAGTTCATTGACCTACCACCTAATAACATATCCACAGAATTCACGTGCTTCTACTGGGTAGACACCTCTACCTTGTGGTGGTCCGCTCTCCCCCACTGAAACTGAGCAAGAGTCCACTTGAGGGTTGGATTTGGAATGGATTGAAATTTACATGAGTACATGAGGAAATGGAGTTACGGAATGGCTATCTGGTTTCTTATTTTTGTTTTTCGATTTTTGCATACCTAGGTGCAACAAACAAGGTAGGTTGGGATTGGATTGGCGTTGGCTTTGAGATCTATAGTGTTTTGGAAACTTGTCAGTGGCCGGCAAAACTGAATGCATGGAGAGGAGAATCCAAAATGGATTTTCAAACTGATAAATATTCCTAACCCCCATCGGGTCGAACAAAACCCATATGATCGGCGGGAACGTCGATGCTGCTACAGCTGTTTTAAGTTAATTTTTTTTACATCAGACAACATCAAAAAATTAAACACAAACGCATACAAAATTATACACCAACCCCCCAGATCAGTCGATATACACTCCTCCCGGCAACTTTTTAGAATGACTTAGACAAGTTATTATCACAACCCGCCCAGTAATCTAAAGCCGATTTCCTCTCTTCGGCCTATAGGGTTCCGCCGCCTCATACTTCCCTTTCTCATGAACCCTCTCCGACTGCGTTTCTGGCTCATGCCTCGTTGCAGCAGGATCATGTCCAGCCTCCCTGCTCGGACTAGCCGTATCATCCGTATCTGAGCCCGATTTCGCGCGTTCCGCTTGCGCGGCTCCTATGCCACCTGGCGATGAGGAAGTTTTTGACGATGCCGGCATGTCGCTTGTTGCAGAAGAGAAGGCCATTTCGCTTTTCTCTTGACGGGCGGCCTCCTCCCTGCGGCGTAGGATTTCTTCGTGTTGGCTAGCGCGCCTGGCGTTTACGGACTTTTTCGCAAAGTAGTAGGCACCGCCACCGGCTAGGGAGTATGCGGAAGAGTAATTGTTAGGTCAAGTGATGGAATGGGGTTTTGTGGAAATGGCGTATATATATGGATTGCGGGTTAAAAGTGTTCATGGGTTTACGTACCGAGACATAGTGTGCCCCAGCCCACCCTGTTTGCGACAACATAGCCATATTGGTTAAATACCGAGAAATATGTATCACAATGAAATGTCGGGGTAGCTTAAAAGTAGGGATCTGCGGTGCGGGTATGCGGTAGACATACCAGGTTGATCTGATCTTTAATATGCCAGTACGGAGGGTGAGTATTCGTATTTTTCATATGATAGGGATATGACATAGGGTTCGGAAACGTACTGTGTTCATTTTTCGTTAATTAGGGGTGTTTAATTGTCTCTTAATATGAGCCTTGGTAAATTTCCGCTGTTAACATCGAGAGTGCAAAAATCGTCGATGACTCCAGGATTGTGATGTGCAAAAAAATGTGGAAGTTGAGCTGACGTCGTTGACGGAGAATTAGGAACAGGGCAAATCAGTTGTGAGAGTTGCACAACAACGATCCGGAGAACTGCCTAGTAGATCCGGTTAAAGAAGATTGTATGACATGCAGCACCAAATTTAATAAATTCGCGGATTTCCATATACTTTTTAAATTTGTTATCTCATCAAGAAATAATCAGTTTCACGTGACTAATATCACATGATCTAATTAGCTAAGTCTACGGGAGCCTAGAACGACCTGAGCCGCAAAATTCCAGATCAATCGGAGCTTGGACAGAAGACTCCTGATGTTTATTCCATCTTTCTTATGCCTCCATCTATTTTCTTCCACGTCCAAATGTGAAAGACTAAGACTTTTCTGGTTGGCTTCTCCTTCACCGGGCTATAGCATATTGTGAGCAAGATATCATGCCCCTGTCATTTCATGAGACATACTCTTCAACTCCGGTTGAGACTCAGCGCCCTGCTCCTCCCCCTTTGCTTCGAAAGCCCAAGAGTCACGGCCTGCCGCTTCGCAGAATTGAGGGTTTTTCACTTCGTCGCTGGTCAATATCTGCGGGGATATGCCTCCCAAAAGGAAAGCGGCTGGTACTATGCTCACCCCTCTTTTCCTAGGGTTTCCTTCCACTGTCGCTGACCAGTTTCGATAGGTGGTCTTTCAGAACGTCCTTCCAAACGGGCCACTCCGGTCCCAGATTCCACACCGCACAGTGTCCTCAGTAGTGATGAGTATTCAGATTCGGGTGCAGCGGATGATAGTGAATATGATGGCGATAGTCTGAAACGTGAGTCTGCCTTTCTCAGTGGACGGGTTGCAGGTTGCAGTTATGAGAACTCGGTCCTGAAATGAGAATCAAATTCGCGCATCCAGAGGTAGTGGAGAAGTTTTCTCTTCAATCCTTCAGCCAAAAGAAAAGGCCCGAAATCCAACGACAGGATCCCCATTTTGGCTACAAAGACTTCTCGTCCTTACCTTTAAAGCCGGATCATGCAAACCGTCCGCTATGGATCGAGCCGCTGAAAGGCACCATCACTCTGGAAAGCTTCTCGCCACTAGCATCCCAAGCACAAGATTTTCTTACAACGATAGCCGAACCATTATCGAGACCTACGCATTTACACGAATATCGATTGACAGGAAACAGCCTTTATGCCGCTGTGTCAGTGGGACTACTGCCTAGGGACATAATCAATTTCCTTGATCGATTGTCAAAAACGCCATTACCGGAAACAATCAAATCATTTATCATCAATTTTACAAAGTCATATGGAAAGATAAAAGTCGTTTTGAAGCACAATAGATTTTTTGTCGAAAGTTCGGATCCTGCAACGTTGCAGATGCTTCTTCAAGATGAGGTTATTGGCCCACAGAGACTACAGAATTCGGAGGGTATAATACAGCAAGCTGCTCCAAAAATGGGAGGATTGGTCATCCCTGGAACCAAAGATGCGGCTGGAGTGAAACAAACCCAAGACCAGAAGCTAGCAGCAGGAGAGACGAATGGCCGACCGAAGGAGGACGACATCTTAGTTGATTTGAGGGAAGAAGACGACGACGATGACCCAGGGCAGGTTCATAGTTTTGAGATTCCGAATACCGCCGTGGAAGCGGTTAAGGCTCGATGCCAGAGTATGGGTTGCCCAGCACTCGAAGAATATGATTTTAGAAACGATGAAATCAACCCTACGCTTGATATAGACTTGAAACCCAATGCACAAATCCGGAGTTACCAAGAGAAGAGTTTGAGCAAAATGTTCGGCAACGGACGAGCCAAGAGCGGGATAATCGTGCTGCCTTGCGGTGCAGGAAAGACGCTTGTTGGGATAACTGCGGCTTGTACAATCAAGAAAGGAACGATTATCCTTTGTACTAGTTCGATGTCTGTTGTCCAGTGGCGGAACGAATTTCTCCGGTGGTCGAATATTGACCCCGGTGATATAGCCGTCTTCACCTCAGACAACAAGGAAAAATTCAAGAGAAGTACCGGAATCATTGTGTCCACATATTCCATGGTGTCACAAACACGCGCCCGTTCGCATGATGCACAGAAGATGATGGACTGGTTGCAGTCTCGGGAATGGGGTTTGATGCTTCTGGATGAAGTCCATGTCGTCCCCGCATCGATGTTCCGAAAAGTCACGTCGGCTATTGCTACCCAGGCAAAACTTGGGCTTACAGCTACACTTCTGCGTGAGGATGACAAGATCAAAGATTTAAACTTCTTGATTGGTCCTAAACTGTACGAAGCAAACTGGATGGAGTTGTCTGAACAGGGCCACATTGCAAAAGTTCAGTGCGCTGAGGTTTGGTGTCCCATGACGACGGAATTTTACTCGGAGTATATGCGCGAGAAATCTAGGAAGGCAGCTTTACTGTACATTATGAACCCGAGAAAGTTCCAGGCGTGTCAGTTCTTGATCGACTACCATGAAAAGCGTGGAGACAAAGTCATTGTTTTCTCTGACAATGTTTATGCTCTGGAACGATATGCTCTGAAATTAAACAAAGCCTATATATATGGTGGAACTCCTCAAAATGAGCGCTTGCGGATTCTGGAGAATTTCCAGCATAACGAACAGGTCAATACGATCTTCTTGTCCAAGATTGGTGATACCTCGCTAGATCTCCCGGAAGCTACTTGCTTAATTCAGATATCATCGCACTATGGATCACGTCGTCAAGAGGCCCAGCGCCTTGGGCGTATCCTACGAGCTAAACGCAGAAACGATGAAGGCTTCAATGCTTTCTTCTATTCACTCGTGTCAAAGGACACTGACGAAATGTTTTACTCCTCAAAACGGCAAGCTTTCTTAGTTGATCAGGGGTACGCCTTCAAGGTGATCACCCACTTGGAAGGGATTGAAAATCTGGAAGGCCTTGCATATGCCACCCCAGGGGAGCGTCGGGAACTATTACAAGAAGTGATGTTGCAGAATGAAACATCTGCGGCTGTAGAAGAGGTTGTGGATGATCTTTTCAGTGGACGTTCAGGAGGCCCGAAATCTCGAGCTGCGACGAACAAAGCTGCGGTGAGACGCAGCGCGGCGACTTTGAGCGGACTTGCTGGCGGTGAGGATATGGCGTATATCGAACATAATAAGAGCAGAAATAAGCAATTGAAGGAGAAAGTGGGCCATCACCCACTATTCAAGAAGATCGAGAGAGATCGTTTGAAGAGGAAGCAGGCCCTGAACCAAGGTAAAAGATAGACTGGAAATTGGTGGTTATCCTATCATACATTGGACATATATGTATGGGTATTTTATATATATATATATATGCGGCCTGAAGTTCGGGCTATTTAACTCCTAGCGTTCTATTTTGAATTCATTTCTGGACCAAGGGGATCAAATGTAAGTGGTATCGCCTGAAATTGATGGAAATTTGCATGTCTTTTTTCGGATACATCTTTTCTTGTCCGCTGCGAATGCCGTGTTGATGTCTTTCGAAATGACCCCGTACTGCGTTATGCGTTACTATTGCAGGCATTTGGTAATAGGATTGGGAGATTCAAAGCCTCTGGGTCTATGGTTTCAAGATATTCTTATGGAACCTCAGATATAATATAATTGTTACCAACTCGCCATGTGGCCCTCCCATCTTGACTCAAGTAGCTCGAAACAGATAGAGCTAAACTCGGACCACGATTTTCCAAGTTCTGTTCATCCGTTGTTCAGGTTGTTACCACCGGCCATTCCTTCATCGTTCCATTGATTTCTTCTCTTCTTCTATCTATTGGATGGATCGTAAAGCAACAAGCGAAGCAAGACACGAGCAAATCGGAAGCATATTTCAACGCCAAGTCCCGCCTCATCCTCTCAAGTCAATTAGCCACGGCAGACTATGATTCCTCAAGAAGGTTAGTCTGACTAGTTGCACACTGATTTCTAATCCCCCAGCGTCCAGGTCCGCTCCAAGACTGCTAATTGCTGCTGGACATGTCGAAACCCAGGCCTCAATGTTCGTATTAGCGAGCTCTTCCAAATAACAGCAGTGTCCACGGGTCTTCGGCTTGTGGTGGACAGCCCCAGCCTTCCAAAAGTTAGATGAATATTCAAGGTTCTAGGTCTTCCCAGAGTCAAAGAAAGTTAAATCTGCAACAGATCGGAGGTTGATGCGAGCGGCACCGACAGCAGGCGACGGTTATGACGTAACTATCTGTTCCTTGAGTGTTATGTGCGTTTGGCTGGGAAGTTTTACATCCTGGTGCTCATTATATCAAAACCCAATAACCCGATGTTATCTGGGTTGGACAGCAGTTAAATTATCTGAACAGTTCTGGTTGAATGATCATTAGCTGCTCTAACATTCAACAATCTTCACTTCTTTTGTTTCCCTGCAGTGTAAGTTAAGTTCAACTGCGTCAACTGATATATCCTGGATATAAAACTCTACCATATATCTCCCACACCTCGACCTCTCGCTGCTGAATTGTCTGGAATCCCGCTTACATCAGACAAATATCACGCAGCAGAAGCATCTGAGAACTCTTTATACGAACACCACAGTTCTGCGCTTTACACGCGACCAGATTCATATATATGACCATCTTCGCGCCAAAGTTTGGATATCCATCTGTGAACAATATTGCTTCCTGTTCTTCGCTCATCAGAGGAATATTGCTGGCACCACAACAGAGAACCATATCAGCGATTTCAAACAGAAGGATCATCCCCAAAGGTGAAGAAACAACACCAAGAACTGGAATAGTCAAATATAGTACTCCTCTCATCTATCTACGGAACCTAAATCTTCACCGGCGTAAGAGAACCATGGCTACCACTACACAGGTCAAGGTGTCGAAGACTGATACGGGGATTCTGGACCGCATGCAGAATGACGATTCTGCAAAGAAGGCGTCTGAATTGCTGCAGACGGATATGGAGAAGCATCATATTTTCTTCAATGAGATGGGGTTTCATGGTTAGTGAAGTTCCTCCGCTTGAGATATAATTTTTTTCTTGGAACCTGTCCCTTTTTTTTTTTTTTTTTTTTTTGCCAGTAGCGGGCGAACTCTTCTACATTTAGTTCCCTTTAATCCTTTTGGTTTCCTTTATTTTACATGCTGAAATCCCATGTTTGATTGGATTCAACTAATAAACTACTCGGGTTTTACGTCAATCCCCTGGTGTATATGCCTGTCGTGTTTGATACACAACCGTTCCCATTACCCCATATGCTACCTCTATTCAGTGAATCAACGACCTTTAGCCGTCCCAGTGATGCTAACCCTGGACAGATCATATTACTCATCATATTTTGACGTCCTATGCCTTAGGGGCGTCTCCGGCTGCCCTGCAGAAGGCTTTTGACCACAACTCGTCCTACCAGCTGCCAAGACGCCCTGTTGATGAAGCCATAGTACAGAAACTAGGGAGCAAGGATGAATTTAACGCTTATGCGGAAAAGAGGGATCAATACCCTAACTTCCTGGCTTTCTTTCAGCGTCAAATTGATATTAGGGGAATCGGACCGGTTGTAAATGAGTATCTATTCGCTAGTAATAAGCTAGCGGATGATATGCTTGTCCGGCTATTTGGCGGTACGCCTCTTGCAAATCATTTTTCTTTGAGATTTACCTTAGATTTTGTCTCCCTTTCCCTTTGAACTAAACCCTACAGGGCTCATCCATCCGTTCATCCACCTCGGATTCGGCCTCGAGTTCCACCAACCTGCCATTGTCGCTCAAGGCCTTGCCGAAACTGCAGTTCATCAAGCAAATCTAAGACCATTTCTCTTGCCAGCTGAACAGGCAGCAGGTGGGGTTGGAAAGGAGGGCCAGAAGTCACTGGTTCAGCTTCAACAAGAAATTCGCTTTAATCCTAAGCTCCGCACCTCCGTGCACTGGGAGGATGAGAATAAGATACTTGATGGAGTGATGACTCGAGCGCCTAGCGAGATGATCGAAATTGCGAGCCAATTCTCTGTCGGACCCCATCAGATCGAAGAAAAGCTAGCAGAATTAGTCAATGCTGTTGGTACGTGATAATAATCCTAGATCGTGAACAGCAGTGCGAATTCTCCTTTTATCTCTAAGCGCATGGACCTCTATTACCCCTGTGATTATTGCCCCTTGGTCTACTGTGCCCCTTGCAGAAAGAGCGGAAGTTAATTCAACAATATCAACAGTTTACTTCACGGGCGCCGCGCAATGTCCTCCCAAATGCATTAAATTCGACTTTTTTTACATGCACTGCGTCACCAGCGCGATTTTCCTGCGTGCATTCATCTCCCAACCCTGGCTAAGTGAGCAAAACAAACTCCGCATCCTGGAATGGAAGGGCCGCATGGACCTCCTGGTATATACCTCTCGAGGTGCAACAGAACCACACCCGGAGGATATCTCAACCTATAATCCGAGGCTGTCGTGGGAGGAAGTATTTTCGAGAACTGTTAACCATGACCGTGATGACGGACACGCAGCGAAGTTCATCCGTACTCTTGCTTACGGCCAGGAGCTGTGTCAGCCATTTGAGCGGGATGAAGAAAAATATAAGGAGGCGTTTTTGATCAGGGGAGATATGTGGATTAAGTTGGCGAACATGGGTGAGTGCTCCATGAAATTTTAATAATGTGTACCATTCTGCTTCAAAATTCATGTATTAGTCTTATCTTTCTTTGTCTCCTTTTTCTCACGTCCAATCATGGACCCTGAGTAATCCATCCAATCACCCTGCCAAGTTTTTACCCCTCCCCCGCGTCATTCGCAATGATTCCATGGAGTTACATCGCTAAAAAAATTATTCTACGAATATCTACCCTGTCAATCTCAAATAACACATTTCATTCTCACCCTTGCTCCGCATCAATGGCCCAAGTTCCAGAACATTTCAAAACCAAAATCCACATACAAAACAACCAAAATTTCTCTAGCCGCATCTTCCACGTTTACCCCCAGCACACATCACCCTGTTCCTGAATTCCCCGAGCCCTTGCCCTACTCTACCCTGTACAACATACCCAGTACCTATCTATTCTGCCGTTAATATTCCACATCTAGCTGGACTGAAAGAACTGGGCTCCCAAGTCTCCCATCTTAGCATAGCCAAATTAATACTTCCGAAGGCTTTGCTGACATGCGTGCTCTGATAATAGTTATCGACTCTATTCAGGAGAGCGACAGAATGTGGATTAGGAATTCCGGGTTCCCTGAAGCGTGGGAAGGGGTTGCGGAGAGATCGAAACTCTAGGTTTGGATCATGTGGCCTTTAACTGCCTGTTCTGGAGTATCTCGACCGCATTGGAATCCATGAATGGATATCGGAAGCATGCGGACATGCCTTGGGAAGGGAGTATTACAGTCATGTCCAGTAATAAGAAATAGTACTCGGAAAAGCGTTAGCAAAAAGAAGTGGGTTATAATATGGTTTATATTCTCCCCTTTTTTAGTATTTTTAATTTCTTATATCTATTTTTTATTTTTATACTGGAACACTTTCATATTTGCTTTTTGTTTGAAGAAATGCTAGGGGATGAAAGCATCCTTGGCGTGGAAATTCCTCTAAAATGTGACCCCGCCAAGGTAGATATGCCCTAGGCTGTGAAGTGAAGTGTAAAAGGATAAGCCGTCCGGGGTAATCTTGAAGTACTTAAGGCTTAGAACTGCAAGTGTAGTGCCAAGCAATATAATTAGTATCGGCGAGAAAATAGCAATAATATTGGTATTTGACATTAAAAGTTGAAAATAAGAGCTATCCCCTTATTACTAAGGAGAGACAAAAACTACAGTTAATGAACAAATTGGAGCTACGTTGTCTATTGCAACTTCGGAAGAGGCCCTCGGAAAAGAAGAGAATAATGTCATTGCTGTGCCAATCATAGTCCATCCACCCATGCCACCATGAAAAAAAATTAAAAAAATAATAAAAAATAATAAAAATAAAGGGGGGGAAGAACAAGTGTGCCTGAGAAAACGGGATCAAAGGATATCTTGAAATTGGATGAGAGGAATGGGCGCCAGCCTATTGGTGACACCTGAGAAATGACATAATCAACTGAATAGAAAGAAATAGAGGGTAATAGGAATCGGGAATGGATGAGTTGAAATTCAAGACTTCGACTTTGACAAAGGGAGATACTGGAATGTTTTATTCTGTTTTATTTGGGGAGAGAAGGGGGAAAGAGAGAGAGAGTTGCGCCGCATGGGGAGTTGTATTTGTAAAAAGATCTGTATCAGTCGTTGTCTGCCTTTAGATGGAATAGTAATAAAAGCTGCAGTTATTAGGTAATGGAACAGGTTCTAGATGTTTCGAGGAGTTTGTCGTTTTAACAGAGCGAACGGAACCTGAAAGAAGCACATAAAGTTAAGAAAGAGACATACTATAAATGAGATAATTGGGTGCCGCCGACGGAAAGGTCTTCTTACTCGTGTCAGATTTCCGTTTGGGGCCCGGTTTATCCTCTGATTCTGCAGTAGGTTTGCTTTTGTATATTCGTTTTCGAAGGCTAGGTCTACCTGGGAGCCTTAGCAATGACCCTTTCTGGCTGTTTGTAGAAGTAGATGTAATGGAGGGACTTTGAGGAGGCATCGAAATGCTGTCGATTGGAGAGAGCGTTGTTATATCGGTCTGAGAGATTTCAGAGATGCTACGGCCAGATTCACCTGAGGATCGACTTCGCTGAGTGGATACGTCATCTTGGCCTTGCGATTTATCTTCGACATAATTTGGCGGTTTGGGCAAATTGGGGGTTTCTGATGGACTGGTCTCGGGAGTTTGTGGCTCTTCTGTCGGCGACGGATCAGGTATGTCTGATAAAAGAACACTAGTTGGGTTGTCCTTGGAGGATTCGCGATAATTCTGCGCAGAAGACTGAAGTCCGGTCACTTCACAGCGTTGACATGCTTTAACAGCGTGGTCGAGGACTCTAACCTTACTAACGAGATGCCTTCGGGCAATCTGGGTATCTTCGGAATCAGCCGCGATGCGCTCGATTTTTTCATTTGATAACTGCACAATCTTTGATGGCGATAAAATATTCTCAAGGTTTTCGATAAGGCAGTTTTCCACAGCAAGGCCGGCAACGTTGTCAATGAATACCGGTAACGCGACAGCGTAATATGTTTCCATACAGTCGAGAATTTCGTAATAAACGCTTGTATCACCTCCTTTATCCTGGAATTCATCAATTCCGTTCGAGCCATTTAAGGTCCGAAGCCGATGGATCTTCGCGGTCAATTTTCGACTTAGTGTAGCAGGAATAACGCGTTTATAAGGTGCGGCCAACTCTTCAATTTTGTTGTTTAGTTCCTTCAACCGATCGCTCATCTCCTGGTCCAGTAGCTCCCGGAGTATGGCTTCGCCAACTGCGGCACCAGCAATATGATGGAGTAAATCGTCAAGAAACCGTTTTACCTTTTTCCATAACTCGTACACATGAGCTTTGGCCATGGAAGTCCATTTAATTGAGTAGCGAATGAAAAGCTCGCCTACTGCTTGGGAATTGACCAATCCATTAGATTCCCTATTTTCTTTTTGGCTTAGGAGTTGAGAAAGTCCATTAATAAAGGAAGATCGCCCAACTGGTTGTGGGTAATCAGGAGTTATCTGAACAGGCGCCTGATCTACACCTTCCTGGGTAGTATCGTCATAAATGTTATAACTATGACCCCGGTCCTCCATGTCGGCAGCAAAATCTTCCGCCCAATTTCGAATTATAGACCGCAGTCGCCTTACGGAGGTTTGGGGATGATAACGAAAATAAGAATCCTGGTAATCTCCAGCTGTTGCAGATCGTGAGAGGGCCTGAAATCGTTCAGCGATGGTTGTTAGGTATAATCGCTGCGCCGTATCCGATTTCCGGTCCGGTCCAAGCTTTGCCATTAACGTACGGCTCGTTTCCAGATCTTGTTGAAGTTCGGCAGACAAGCTCGATAACTGAGATTCAACTTGGCCAAGTAGGATTTTAGTCAGCCGACTTCGAAGGGATTCAATACCAGTGCAGTTTGGAGAAAGTGTTTTCCAGGGCATCGAGGTGGACAGAAACAAGTTTTCCATGTCGTCCCGTTTAAAATGGCGACTCCTCTTCTCAGTGGTGTCGTTATTCATAAGGACATGCCATCCTAGTCGCAGGGGAGTATCCTGGTTCCTAGCACGCGCAAAGAAGCTCTCCTCACTGGTAGAGCCTGGTTGAAGAGTGTCCGGCTTCGTAATGATTGCCATTGTGCGAGGGCTGCAAGACTTGGTCATACGCAGCACGAGTTGCTGAGATATACTATTCTCAGCCGATACAATGGCTAGGATAATGCTCCGAGGATTCCTCATGTACGCCTCAGTGAGGTTGTGGACAAGGGCAACATCCTCCATTGTTTGGTGCATCCCTGGTGAACTGATCAGGCCGGGTAAGTCGACCACAGTTAGGTCTGGTAATGAAGGGCCGGAAACTTCTAGCTGTAAAATATCAAGTGAATACCTTCCGTCCGAAATCAAACCCATGATTAGCCTGGCCTCCGAGAACAACTTTGGGATATCTTGAAGCCAGTTGTGTGACCGGGCAAATATACCCAGTTTGTGTCGATGGTCTGGGGCTGCATCTGGGCCAGGTCGAATTTTCACCGAGGCGGAGGATTCATTTGACCTCCGGAGGATAACTTCTGTTGCAAACCTGGTACAAAATCCATTACTCGTTGGCAGTGCGACTCCGGTTAGGGCCTCGAAGACCGAACTCTTCCCGCTATTTTGGTCACCACATATCACCACCTGTGGTAGGGCCAATCGGCGACGAAACCCCAGATCCCGAAGCTCATCAAGCCCATCGAGAAATTCCCTTTGTCCTTTGGATTGAAGTAGATGAAGGGAAGAGGTGTCAAAAGCATCCATATTTTGGTTACGGCCCTCTGGGCTAGCGATGGGTTCTCAGAAGCATACACCAGGAGTAAAGCGTATAATAAGTGTATAACTTAGAAGATAGAAGTTGTGAAGGTCAAGTTGAAAGAAGGGATAGTCACAACTATATTATACTGATAGTCTCCCCAGGATTGCGGACGCGACCACTATGACAGGGGGTGCACAAGCGAGCGCCGAGACTCCATTGCATGAAAGCCGAAGGGACTTAAAAAAATCCCAGAGGCTGAGTTATCCTCCAAATCATACATAGCCAGGGATTAAAATCTTACGGGATGTATTATTGAGCGAAAAAATATGGTGGAAATAATGAAATACTAGATGCTTAACGATCGGTAGGGATTAGGACCTAAGAAAAGCCACGGGTCAATGAACCCACATTAGGATCAGGGCACCACAAGGACTAGAAACGAACGACGATTCCAGAAATATTAAAAGCCTTGGAATCGTCAACCAATCCACAATCCCGACTGACCAGTGACCAGGTTGGGGTTTATGCGGGGAGCGGGGCTCACCAGCCACCACGATGCAGTGCAGGGGTTTAGAGATTATTGGTCGCGCTAACGGTACATTTCACGACCAGGATCTCAGAGATGAATCCTGAATTAGATCAACGACATCGGTAGCACCATGGCGGAGAGCCGGAAGACCCTTGACACCGCGATAGTGAGCCTTGGACTTTTTCTTTGCTGATGAAAGATGGAGATGTTGAAGTCGTAGTCTAATATTTCCTAATCAGGACAACGAAGCTATCCCTAAGTCAGGTGATTTATATGCTGGTTTATTGCTTAAGGCTGACTAAACATTCTTGGCCAATAGGAATCCATGGAGCTTGAGGAAGAAAGAGTTTATTCGGAAAAACTATCGGGCCGGCTCAAAATGACTTCATCCCCAACGTCGACTGATCAACGTCAATCAATCTCCAATCTTCAAGTCTTCCAACTCAACGACAAGTTACTCGAGAAAGACCAAGACAACCTAATCGAACAGACCGTTATTACTTGCTTATAACCAACCATTCTTGATTCTTCACTCTATCAGACTACGCGTATGCAATGATGGCGGATTCCGGTGACCGCAATGGTCCGAGCACCAACAACAAACCCGACCGCCCATGTCGGCCCCAAGAAGAGAACCCTTTTATAGCATTTTGCCGCTATGCGGACGAACACTTCGCTTCACTATTGCAGTCTTTCATAGGGCTTCCCTCCACTATTTCACCTCCCTCGCCAAGGAATTGGTTATACTTCCAGGGACAGGATCCTGCGGAAATGTTTCATCATCAGAGACTTCAGGCACCCGAAGTTAAGGCTGACAACCAGGATACACAATGCAACGGTCAATGGAATAAGTCCAAAACATGTTCCTGTGGCCGTGATGATTCCAATAGAGCTCCCCACCGTAGCCGAGATGGCTCTCAAGGCGCTGCGGGGCATCCGGCTGTCCCGTTCGATCAATGGCTGTTAACTGGGCGCCGTCACTTTGAACATGAATTTCCATCTTGTATTTTTGAATCGCCTCTGGATACCTTATGGCCCTTTGAATCTTTTCACCTCTTCCCACTTTTTCGCCGTTCCAGTTCTCCGTTCTCCATCGACTTATTGACATCGTCCAATTCGCCAGGATGGCCCATTCAGTACCTTCTGTTTTCTCCCTACTCTCCCCTTCACCTTGAACGTCAGCAGAATATAGGGCAGAAGCCGCACGAGAACCTTTTATCCTCGTTATTCTCTTCATTGGTCCCCTCCCACAATACACATGAATCTGAAACCCCACACTGGCGGGAAGCGTTTGAAGATCTATTGCGCATAGAGAATGGCAAAGATATGTTGAATGACGATGCAAGGGCGGTCATCAGTAAAGAAACTCCAAAAGATTGGATTTCTGGGATCATTGACAGAGGTAGCCTTGGTAATCGTTGGTCTCACGTCCGAAAGGGAGCAAATGATTATTTCAACTACAGGTACAACCGGTCATACGATGGTAATAGTTCAAACAATATGGAGATCTCCCATCCTGGGTCTACAAATGAATACGGTGATCGGGAGCACGATATGCGGGAAGACAAATGGCTAACGGAACTCCAACTATACGAGAAATTTTTGAACCGCGTGAATGAACCCTCGGATGAGGGGACTGTTCCTTTTGTTAGCCCACTGATGGGAATGATAATTGAAGATCGACTAAGACGACGGAGAAAGCTTCTCGAGCAACAGAGCCGATGGGAGCGGGAGATCGAGAACGAGGCTCACTATTCCCAGTTCAAAGATTGTCAGAAGGACCTCGATCAGCCCGACAAAATGACCCATCCAGAATCAGAGACAGAGAGAAACATTCCTGTTTCGATGTCACAACCGCAATCCTCTCCATATGTCATTTCCACGATGACCACGACCGAGCGCAAGACTCTCCCTGACGGCTCAGTCCAGACTACTATTACTCAAAAACGACGGTTTTCTGATGAAAACGAAGAAACCAGCGAAACCGTTCACATAGAGAACGCCAACCAAACCGTAGCAGAAGGTGAACAGATGAGGCAGAACCGCAAGCAGGAACCCCTCGAAATGGCTAACAGACAGAAGAAAGGCGGTTGGTTCTGGAAAGGTTAATCACATTTACATTTATCACGACTATCTAGTATTTTTATATATATCTTATAATCGATTACCATCCCTTCTCACATTTTGTTAATTTAAAATATTTCTTGCCACTTTAGCGCTGGTCACTTGCGGGGGATTTACACTCGTGTAAGGCTGGAACTTGTAATTATGATGTTTTGGTTTCATTTAATTTTATGCTTTGTAGTTTCTCCTTTACTTCTGAACATAGGGATTTAGGGACTTTGAAAGAATGGAGAGAGAGAGCATATTGACAACGAATGGTGATTGCGCAGAAATACTAGTAATATATATCACGGCATAATGCAAATGCCAAACCTGACCATAGCTTCTTCTCCCTGCTCCGTTTTCAACACAAACATGAAAGGCTCTTCTCTATCCCCTGCAATAAAAACAAGTTAAAATGCATTCCAGCTGACTCTTTAGTCGTTGAATCAGGAAGAATTCAGATAGCGGACCCCTTTTTGACGATGCCTGAGTTTCTATCGACAGTCGGATAGCCGAACTCAAATGTAAACAACAATAAACCCCGTTAAGTCCGAACTAGAGATGTTTATTGGCGGGCAGAAATATTGACATCAGAATGAGCAGACCACAAGAGACATCTACGAATGATACAGTTCGCAACTAGTTGCTTTGCGAGGGGTTCATGAACATCACCATGAATGGCATATACATGTGGTCAAAATTTATTAATTAGTGCATCAAGAAACTTTGCATGGGTCGTTCACTTGTTTGGTTAAAATCTGATTGTTATTACTAGGGTTTTACAGAGGCTTTGAACGGACCGCGCGAGGGAATTGTGGCTTCGTACAGCTGTGTAAGCGCACGCCTGACGCATGAAAACTTGGAAATGCCGTCTTCTGGAAATCGAGCCATGTTGGATCACCTGCCATGCACACTGAGTCCAGTGTACCTAATTGCAATGATAGGTTCGACTAAAAGACCTTACTCCAGTTGAGAAGCAACTAGTCAACTCAAGTCGCTACCATTAGGCTGCTAGAGGTCGTTCGAATGTTGCTGTCGACATCCAGACGTGCACTTTCAGTTTCATTAGTGACCAATCCGAGAATACGCGGGCGCCAACTGCTTTGAAACGGCATAAAAATCAGTTTCGAGAAGAGGCTAAAATCATTACCTAGACAGTGAGGTATCTTGGAGCTCAGTCACCAGATGGTTTCGCAGGAAGAAGAGATATGTTGACCCTCGATATATGCCTGCTCTCCCTGCCTTGCGGGTACGTCCATTAATAACTATTCCCCTTCTCCCCCCCACAGCCACCGCAAAGAGTGATTTTTTTCCAGCATCTCCCACCAGAAATCCGGCGAAGCAACCTGATGTATGCTTTGGGGGAATTTATCATGCATATGGACTTGTTCCTGGCGTATCCGATGAAAAGGAAGAAGAAGAAGCTGAAGAAGCGTCAGCAAGCGGCCCAGCCACGCCATGCCAACTTTCCCCGCCCCTGGGATCGCGACTCGTCTAAACTCCTAGAATGGCAATGGTGCAGTTGCTTATGCCACCGCTTATGTTCTTCTATGAACACTTCCCTATTACAGGATTCTTCCATCTCCAGCCCCGCGCATGATGAGTATATCTTGTATTACCATAATGATTTTTCGTTGTGTTGTCTGGCCCCGCTAAATGCCTACGAAATGCCTTGTGGGTTGGCTTTTAGCCTGCTGGCAGGCTTATATTGAAGGCGTCGATGTGCTGTATCGGACCAATAAAATGCACATCAACGGAATGAAACTGTTTGATCACCTACCACGGCTTCTGCTGCCACAGCGTCTTGCGGCGATAAAGTCCGCGGAGCTGGTCTGGGACATATATCCGCGGGTTCGATCCCTGCTCACATTCCACGATGTGCCTTACCCCAACCTAAGGCCATAAATCGCCTTGCTTAAAGCGCTTCCAGGCACCTTGCTGAGCATAAGGTTTCTGTATCTATCGTTACAGGGCAACCTGTACCCTCGTAATGAGCCGAGCGATGAAGCTGTTTTTAACTACAGTGAGAGATTACTCCTGCTAGTAGATCAAGATGACGATAAATTTGCACCCGCAGTGTCAATGTGGCGTGGCTCTTCCGTCTAACCTCCACCTTGAACGCAAAACTAAAGCCACAGGAAGGGGTGCAAACTGTGAAACGCTGGCCAATATGGGAAAGATTATGAGCAAGAGGTGGTTTGCTGGGACAATGATGAAGCATTAGAGGCGCTTTGGCGATGCCTTCCTATCCAAAGAGGTGTAGACTATGAAGCATCTCTCAAAGGATACTGAATATGCGAAAATCAGCACAATACCCACCATCAAGGGAAGTAAACAGCTATTTAAATGGCGATGAGAGCACTGGTGGATAGCCCCAAACGATACAACTAAAGGATATCCCCCACCCCAAAGCCAGAGCACAACCCACCAATACATTCCCGGAATCTGTTATACAAGTAAACTATAAATCCCACAGCGATGTGAAGTTTCATATTTCGATAACTACTTCATCTTCAGGTAGAATATTTTGGGGGCAAAAATCCATCAAACCCTCAACTTTTCCCCTTTAGGAAATTCTGACGTCTCTCGGCTGAGTCATCACTTTTGCCGCGGTTGCGGGGAAAAACTCCTGCTGCACAGAGAGATAATAATAGTCACCGACACGAAGGGGATGCCTGTTACTTCTTGCATCCCTTCATGTTCTGCCTAGATGAGAGACCGGCAACTGTTTGGTCAATAACAGCAATCGCCTCATAGAGGTCTTTCAAATATCCCCCGCCATGGCTTCTGCTACCCCTGAATCCATTGCCGATATCCCCGCACCCGCACATGTCCAGATTGAATCCATGCTCTCTCGAAAATTCGGCAAAGAGACCGTCAACTATTTCTCCAGTGAGCAGTTTGCTTCCATATATAGTACTCAACCTGGTTCTAATCAGATGTTTCTCCGGCAGGTTCTCCCTTAAACCGTGTGTCATTCCTCCGGTCAGAGACCCCTTTTTTATCGGCAGCCATACGACACCCAACAAGCCGCTTTTTGATATTCAACAACCTCTCACCCCTCGTCCGTAACCCTTCAGAAGTTTTCTACGCCTCCTACGACGATGTCAAACCCCTCATCCCAGAAGACATCTTTGATAAATCCGAAGAAGACGTCCTCAAGGAGTTCAACTCCTCAATCACAATCCCGCACCTAGTATTCCTAGGCCTCGACGAAACACAACCAGAAAATGGCCTAGTCTACAAAATCTATAAGGGAACTCCATTCTTCGCCCTGGACGTCACTCCCCGCGGCACAATCGAGCAAACCGCCAAAATCATCGTCTCAACAATGGAAGCAAAGGGCCTCTCCTTCCACAGAGCACGAGTCCTTAACGCGCTCCCAGCAGACGTAGCTGCCATATACGCCCAAGCCCGTGCCCTCCTCGACTGGAACACACGCAACACCTTCTGCGGCACCTGCGGCCACCCAACCCTGTCCGTCAACGCCGGCACAAAGCGCGCATGTCCGCCACACGACCATGCCCAGGCGACTGACGGGAATCCCCCCACCGCCCGTCCCCACTGCAACACCCGCACAACCATCTCCAATCTCTCCTTCCCCCGCACGGACCCGACCATCATCGTCTCCGTCCTCAGCCATGACGGCCAACGTCTGCTTCTAGGCAGGCAAAAGCGGTGGCCGCAAAACTGGTACTCGACGCTGGCAGGCTTTGTCGAGCCAGCCGAGTCCATCGAGGACGCCGTGCGCCGCGAGGTGTGGGAAGAGTCTGGTGTCGTGCTATCCCGCGTGGTCGTGCATAGTACGCAGCCGTGGCCGTACCCGGCAAATCTGATGATTGGGGCTATTGCCCAGGTGGCGACGCCGGAGAATGAGGTAATATCGCTGAAACATGATCCGGAGCTGGAGGATGCGCGTTGGTTTCCGATTGAGGTGGTTGAAGAGGCGTTGAGAGTGGGAACGAGCGATTTGGCAAGTCAACCGGATGCCGAGTATAAGGGAGGGCTAAGATTGCCTCCCAAGACGGCTATTGCGCACCAGCTGATTATGGCGGTGGTGAAAGGGGAGTTTTGGGGTGGTACTAGTGGTGATGCAAATGGAGCGAAGATGTGAAGTGTGTATGACGATCGATACGGGGAAATGCCTCCGTCTCAGGTACATTTGTGACATGCCGGATATTTTGTTAATTATATGCGGATTTCCTCCATTTCTGATAAGCAGGATTGTATGGACATAGGTGATATTTTACAGTCGCTGGGTTCTGACTGAAGTCTCTCCTGAACTTGCGTGAAAAACATAAGCTGAGCTCACTTCTGTTGTTTCCGTTTATATCATGAATAGATAGGAGAAACTGAGGTATTACAACTCATATGTTGACAATCAACATGCATATTTATAACCTAGATAACAATGTTCTAGAATTCAGGGAGTGATAGATGACAGCTTGCCTGTTCTTGACATGGCAAGACTGTTTTAAGAAAAGATAAACAGTGTGATTACCAAATTACACAATTTAAAATATGTCCCCTTAAAAATCTAAAATTTTATCTCATTGATCAATCACACCAAATCATAACCTCACATCTTTTCAGCTAGCTAGATATAAATAGAGATCAAAACTTCAATAGAAAATGCTAATATAAAAGGACAGAAGAGAAAAAGGCCGGCAAGAAATATATCAGAGAAACGATATCACCAGATTTGGGGAGAATATATATGGGAAAATAGGGCGAAAATGCCAGGAAAAGTGGAGGACGGAATAATACAGAAGACATAGCAAGGGCGTAGGGAAAGGGGGGGGAAAAGTGCAATATAAAACGTATAATTGCTGTGGCATCGAATTACAGATGAGACAAAGGTAATCAAACAACCTAACCGCTCAATGGGATGGGTCGGACAGAAATGTTGGCGGTTGGCTATACGGCTCCATGTAAATAACTAACTAATCGATGGAATCGATTAGTAATCAAATAAAGACAATAAGTATATCACCCACATGCTTTTTTTTTTCGTGTGTGAAATGAAATGTCGAAAACTGCATAACTTTACGTGTTAAAAGAAGAAGGAAACACGATTGGGTGCCACTATTCATCAGTTTTCAAGAGATTGAGGCTGCGATGCGTCTTCTTCTAACCGAGCCCGCTTGGTATCCCGTCCCTCACTTCCTTGAGCAGCAGCGCCAACACCACTGACTCTGCGTTTTTCCTTCTCACGCTGATGCTCTGCACGACGGGCTTCTTTATCCTTTTCCTTACGGTGGGCTTTAGACTCAAATTCATGCCAGTCACCTTCGATGTTTGCAAGTCTGGGAATTAAATGTAAGTAAAGAGAAAGAGTGAAAAAGAGGTTTAGTTTGGACAATGATAGCAGGCATTATCACTTACTCAATAGCCTGCTGGGGAGCAGGTTCTTCCGTTGTGAAATATGTATGGGTCAGGACCTCCTCAGCAGATGGTCTTTTGGCGGGATCATACTGGAACATCTTGGCGACGAGGTCCAAGGCAGCTGGCGAAAGGATATCTGTATAAAAATTTTCAAACGTGCGCGGTTTCCGTTCTGTCGGTCGTAGCAGCTCGAACCATGGCATTTCGACGATATCCGGCCAGTCAGTGCGCGTAGGAGTGCCCAATGAAGCATACAATTTGTCAAGTTGGCTTATTTCACCACCTTCGCCGGGGAACACTGCCTTTTTGGTAAACATCTCCACCCATACACATGCAGCGCTCCATATGTCGACAGCGGGTCCGTAACGGGTTTCTCCCAGGAGGAGTTCGGGGGGACGATACCAAATGGTGATGACGCGGTTAGTGTAATCCAGCTGGCGACTCTTGGAGAAGAAACGTGCTAGGCCGAAGTCGGCAAACTTTAGCTGACCTTGGTTGCTGATAAGGATATTTGCGGCTTTGATGTCTCGATGTAGCACTCCGCGGTGGTGTAGATAATTTAAGCCCTCGAACATTTGCCGTGCGAGATGTTTTTTGTGGGCAGCTGTGAGGGAGAAAGTAGGATGATTGATGAGGCCGGTCAGGTCATGCGATAGGTACTCGAAAACCATGAAGCATTCATTTTTCTCCACCATAACTTCCCGAAGAGAAACAACGTTGTCATGGCGGAGATGCTGCAGCAGCCTTATCTCCCGGACGGCTGTGATAGGGAACCCATCCTTTTCACCTTCCATACGTATCTTTTTCAATGCAACCATATTATTTGTATAAACATGAATAGCCTTGAAAACCTTGCCGTAGGTTCCCGCTCCAATCACGGACTCATTTCCGGGTTTTCGGTAGTAGACAGAATCCGACTTTGAGAATTCTTCAGAGAGCATAGGACGTGGTTTCAACCGCTTGAGAATCTTCTTTGGCTTCTTACGTTCAGGTGACCGCTCTGGTCGACGTTCATGTCGCTCATGTCGCTCATGTCGTTCATGTCGTTCATGTCTGGACTCCATTCTCCTATCTTCACGCCGGTCCCGCTGCCTTTCGCTTCTGCTGTCAAACCGGCGGTCATTTCTCCGTGAATCCCGTCTATCATCCCTTCGATCAACACGGCTATTATGCTTCTCCCTCGGAGGAGGAGCATTGGATTGTTTATTCTTAGTTGAATCCACGTTTTTTTGAGGGGGTTCACGCATTCTCTGTACAAGATCGGGTACTGGTTTGGGAGTAGCCGGGGCCGGAGTTTTTGATTTAAAAGCGAAACTAAATTTCCCTGATTCCTTGGGAGTGGAAGTGCCACTCTGCTGTCGATTGGGAGGTGGCATTTTCTTCGAACCAGTCTTCTCCGGCTTCGGTTTTGAATCTTCATCTTCCACCTGTAGATCTTTGGATGGACGAAATGGGTTATCGTCTTCGTAGATTTCAGGCGACATACGTTCATCGGGAAGATGAGGATGTTTAAGTGGTCCTCCTGGAGGTCCGTGTGCTCCACGGCCACGTACACTGGAAGGAGTCCATTGTAGATTGCTGAAGTGGCTTCCCTTTCCCCGCTGCGATTGTTGTTGTTGTTGTTGCTGCTGCTGTGGCGGTGGTTGTGTTGTTCCATATGATTGTGGGCCTGGATTGGAGAATCGACGATCCTGAGACTGGTTATACTGATTTCCACGATATCCGGGAGGGCCAGCCCGATAGGGCTGACCAGAGTATCCTGGCTGACAGTGAGCTGAACTGGAAGGATATGGTGCCTGTTGACCTTGGTAATATTGGCCTTGCGATCCGCCTTGAGGTGGAGGATAAGAAGCCTGTCGATAAGGTGGCGAATAACCGGTCACTTGTCTGTATTATTGGGTTAGCATCAAATTTAAACGCTTCACATGTTTGTTTTAATTCACTAACCCTTGTTGTGCATGATATTGCTGCTGACCCGACCAAGATCCTCTGCTGCCACTAAACGGAGATCCAGATTGCGGCGATCCATGGTGTGAGCTCGTAGGCGTCACATAATGTGGGGACGTATTGTACGATTGTCGTGTATCAACATGTGGACGAGACGGTCTACGTGAGCCACGGATTTCCGATGCACGCATAACATGTATCTGGAACGTATCGCGTAGTCGACTGTCACCCTCAGATGCTTGATTCGAGCTTATGGTTTCAAAGCTAGGAATAGGACGAAGAGGGGACGGGGAACGGTGTGAGTCATCCACAACAGATTGGATGGGACGGTTAGATTGCATTTCTATCGTCTTTCGAAACTTTGGAGGTGGGGATTGCCGCGAAGCTCCCGAGAAAACGGAGCGGCGGGACGAGGGCCGCGAAGAATGATCAGAGTAACCTCTGACCGGCGGAGGGCTTCGAGAAAAGCGACGTGGTGAAAAACTGCCTCTTTCTCCGAATGAATCTGGAGATCTAGAGCGTCTGCGGCGAGGCTGCAACAACTCAGACGCTGAGACCTCAGAATGAAGATCTGCCGGTCGGAGGCCCTTTCCCCGTGGTACTGGAGGTCTTCTGGGGGACAAATTCCGATCTGGCCGACCTCTACCTCTCCCAGGACGGTCTCGGTTACGCCCGTCTCGCCTCTTGGGACGAGGGTTGAGTTGAGAACGAGATGGCGAAATGCTCCGACTGCGTTTCCGCTTGGAGGGCGGGCCAGGAGATTGCAGTGGAGAATTTGCCTGGTCAGTCCGAGAGTCTTCCTGAACGTCTGGTTGACGTGTAGAATCTCGTAAATCTGAGTCTACGGCCTTGTTGTGAAATGGAGGAGAAAACCGTCTATTCCTATTACTAGTATTGTTGTGCTTTTTATGATCGCCCCTCCGGCCGGGTTGGGGGCGACGGGACGACTGGTTCTGGTGAGCAAAGGAAGCACCGCGCCCTCTCGTTCTTTCGTGGCCACGGGCTGCCCCACGACGCGAGGGCGGTGGTGATCGCGGACGCCGCTCAGGTCGTTCCCGGTCTCGGTCCCTGTCTTTTTCTCTAGGATGTGGCAGTGCGTGGTCTCTGTCTTTAGGGTCGTCGTCGGCTCTCCACTGGTCTTTCATCAGCGGATTCCTACGGGACCCAGCCATGTAATCGATAGCGGCATCTGGTTTGGAATCGGCTGAATGGATAGATAGGCAACAGCGTGTCGAGAGGATCTTGTCGAGAATGTGTCGTTGTGCTGGATGTTGAAGACAGGCGGTGCTGGATCCTCCACTAGCGTCGAAAGGCTTGGCGGCGAGTTCGTGTCAGCAACGGGCGCCCAAAAAGACCAACTGCGCACTTTCTTGGTTCAGTGGACTAAGGGCAATTCTTTTTTTTTTTTTTTATCCTGCTGCGTTTTTGATGTTAGGTCCTTTCACTGGCGTGAAGTTTATATGCAGACCATGAATTTCTCCAAATTGAAATATCAGTGATTGTTGTTGGAAAATCCTTGGAATTGTTAAAGAACCTGTCTCGCGTCTGTGGAAAGCAAGTCGCTGTGTGGCGATATCATCTGGTCGTATCAGTTTTGCTCGTAAGTATAGCACATGTATGTCTGCCAGAGAATTGCATACCCAGCAAGAGTCTGGTTCGATGATCCTGTTGTCAAGTTGGTTTTGAGCAATGCTGGGAGTGCAGTTGCTGAGTTGTGTTCTCTTTTCTTGGGGTGAATATTTTTGGTGGTCATTATCAGGTTTTTTCGCCCGTGATTTTTGACGGTTCCAGCTAGCAAAACGCTTTGCTGTTGAGGGAATGAATGATGAGTGAAGGGAAAAGGCTCTACGATATTGTCCGGATTGATGGCACCGAATAATCCACCCGCAAAGAAGTCCCAGACACCGTCTCCCTCCTTTAAAAAATCATATATAATGACTGAGATTCCTCTGGAATCTTCCTTATATCTCCATCTCTTCTCCCTTCATATTTTTCCCGATCTGAAGTTGCTGAACGAGGATCTCTGTCACTCTTAATCCTCGCTGATTTCCCCCCCTCCTTGTCAAGATTGCCAGCAAATACCCTGGTTCCTTGTCGAGGCAAATCCGGATATTCTTTTTCTTTGCAGCTGGAGTGGCGTCGACATGTCACATGCACATATCTATCTACGGTATGGAAAATGAAGCAAAATATATCCCAACGTGGTTCAAACCCACATCTCATCTCTGGTCTGGCCAAACAAAATAGTTCACACCTCCAGCCCTTAGACAATATATTCTCAGAAATTTTTGGTCCTTTTTTTTTTCTTTCCCCAAAAGTACGTACCGTTAATTGAGAGGTCCATTTGAGTGCAATGACCTTCTGGTCTGGTAGTTATTGTGCTAGATAGTACCGTGTCCAGTCGAGGACGGAATTAGGCACTCAGCGGGGTTAGTACGTACCTATCTCTTATATATATGCAACCACTATCCTATTCCATCGTATATATAGCCAAAAGTAACACCCAATCTCCCGATAACCCATGTAGGATTCTGGGGTGTTGAACTCAATGTAGAAGAATTCAAGGGCTGATCGATGATGGAATAGTTCGAAATAGCGATTGGCCTTCAATAACCGTACTTAGCCACAGATCATTTACGTCTTCATTCCAGCAATGAACCTGAACGCTGAACAGCGGTGGAATATGCATCTGCATCTGGCAATTTAAAGCCCTCCGGGGCGTAGCCAACAACGACAATATTCCAGTAGTAGCAACAAATCCCACCAAGGACAAGACGGGACGGGATCCCACCGTAGAGGTGCTATAATGAATTTTTCATTTCAGGCGGACGTCGAGGTCGGAGCAGGTATCGCATAGTCGACTGCGCTGAAGTCGAAGCAGTGCGGCATGTGATGTAAGGCGTTTGGCTATTTATTTGGTGGGGCCAGCTTGTTGATCGTCTGCATATTTGTGATGACAGAACATCACCTAACGACAGCTACGAATACAAATACCTAACCTCAATCCATCCATCCATCCATCCATCCATCACAAACTGAGGCACCCTTTAGTTGATCCCACTCATTAACGCTAACAGTAGTGAGGTGTGTCCTAAACGGTGTGGTACTGGTCCAAAAATAACGTGATGGCGTGTAGGTCGGGTTGTTGATAATCGGGATCAGGATGACTGCAGCCTCCTCCCGGACCCAGCAACCTGGCACTGTCAAGAGGACGGGATAACAGCATCGTTGCAGATATAAACCGAGAGGTTCGGTTGGACACGGGTACTACCATCTCCATCAACCATATAATTTCTCTAAGACAGGCTGATGGACGTGGGTTGCAAGATGACAGTTGTGTGCTGATTTCGCTGTTACAGGGTGTTACAGGGTGAGGTTGTCGAAAGAGGCTGCTCTGTTAAGGTTCGCTTCATGAAACTAGTAACCATGACATGTGGTTGATTAGTCACCCTTTCACCAGAAATGTCACGTGGTATCGATATAAACTCCAACTTCAACGTCAACCTTCAATAACGACAAGATACAGCAAGAAGAAATATCAGCATTGATGGAATAGAATATATGCATTCAAATTTATTTTATGATTAGGCGTGTGGCGCTTGGAATGCCATGTCTCGAATGTGCACTACTATGAGAAAGCAAGACTGTTTAATTCTCCTATATTAATCAACCGTAGAAAAGACAACCACCCTGAGGCTATCATCAACAACGAGCAAATGAGAACGATTTCTTTCAATCTAGACAATTTAGTTCCTCAGTACTTGCCCGCATGCTAATCAAGCGTAATAAAATCCAATCCCATCCCGCAAATCCATCCTAATCCTCCAAATCATCCCGGCCGGTTTCCTAACGGCTGAAGAAAAGCAACCGTCGCAAGCATCTGTCTTCATAACTCACGGCATTACTATCCCGAATTCATTCGAGCGCGCCTAAACCTCCAGCGAATCCCTGGACACCCAAAGAAAACAACCATGGCGAGCATGCATGGATGGATACAAAACACCGAAACCCAAAATCCAACACATCACCATAACCACATTGATAATCCACAGTCACCACATCATGAAAAGCCATATTAAAACAGGTGAAAAATCGCAAATGGTCAGACATGAATGCAAAACAAATCTCAGCAAATCTCAAGCCATCGCATTAATCACCAAATAAACGTCGCGAGGCAGATGAAAATTCACACTCGCGCAATAATGGAACAAAACAAACACGAAAAGCTGAGACCCAACCATTACCAGAGTCGTTATCATCAACATCATCATAAGTTTCATGAAAAACCATAGCAAACCAAATGAAAAACCACAATCGCGCAAACAGGGGATACAAGAAACAAAACAAGAAATCATCTCGGCTTTATAATATACAGCAGTACTCTCGGGGAATAAAAATATCAAGCCAACTGGGGAAATAATAATCGCAATCGTAATCACAAAACCGGGGGAAAAAGGGGGGGGTAGGGAAAGGGAAAAAAAACAAAAGACAAACAAAGAAAAACAAAAAATGGATGGCGAAACCCGCATCGTCACCCTTTAACTACGTTACTAACCATCTTCCCAGTATCGTCCTTTTCCCTTTCCTCAACTGGAACAAGCACCTCCTCCAACCCATCAAACGCCTTTAATTCCCTATCGCGCGTAACCGGTGGGTAATTCTGCATGGTTCGTGGATTAAGATACCCCCAAAAAAACATATCGGAATAGTTGCGATGCAAAGACATCTGTCGCCGTACAGATTCCTTCAACAGAAGTTCATCGGGTCTCTGCAGGCGAACCCTATTCGCGGTCCTCCCCCAGGCTTGGTACTGCAGAGTCCCCACTTGATCGGCCGGTACGCCAAAGACACTCATCCCCCGAAACATTGGCGGGGGTTCGTACTTCCAACGAGCGAATGTCTTCATCACTTGCAACTTGCTAACCAGCGCGGTGCGTTTCAACGTGCGCCAAAGCAGCGTAAGGCTGGGTTGTGAGAGAAGCATGCGACGCATACCATCCTTCCCGCTGCCCGTGACGGGATCCGTGAAACGCATATCAAGCTTGACAAAAAACAGCACAGCGAAGAAGATGTCAGCATTGGTGAATATTTCGCGGTTTTGAACGAGCGCGATACGACGTGCGTTGTCCGGGATATCCATGAGGAACCATATCTTCTTAATAACTGATTCACAGCGGTCGGGTACGGGCACTCCATCTTCCGCTAAGATTGTGATAATCTGATGGCAGACCATTTCTCGATAACATACCATTAACAGCCAGCGGAAAGACGGAACTTTGCGTACCTCCCCCCACGCAGCACGAGAAGCAACAGGATGAGGACGTAAACCAGGGTCGGAATTGCACAGTTTTGCATAGCAACGGGGCGGGAAAATTTCAGCAGATTGTGGAGCGCGTAGGGTCGCTTGTGCCTGAATAACTGTTCTGAAACGACTGTTGATGATGTTGTGAAAATCTCTGGAAACGCGATATAAAATCAAAAGTTCCTGTACACGCATATGATGGGCTAGAACCAGGACCATATCCGGTCTTTTGAGAAACTCCTGGAATATATTGAAGGAATTTTCATGTCGATGTGCCCCAATACGCGTACCACGTTGAAATTGGCGATTTGTACAAATAGGAAAACGAGAAAGACTGGATAACGGCATATTAGACTGTGTACGTTCTCCAACCCTTCGACAATAAGATCGTGATTCGCTTGAAGTTCCGGGGAAGAGGTTGTCTAGCGGCTGAGTGTTGATATACCGTAGCACCCCCGGCCATGGCGGGAACTGCAAAATCCCCGAACCGTGGCGGGTACCAGTGGGACTCGGAAGATGCGATTGCTTACTGTCGCCGCGGGCTTTGGTGGCGGTTTTGGCTTTTAGCTTCTGGGCGAGTCTCGCGTTTCTCCTCGGATTGTGGAAGCAACCGAGTTTGTGAAGTGGTGCCAACTTCTTCTGTTTTGGAGTTAGCTTCTCCTCACCAGCCTTCCGTGAGTTTGAGGACATGCCTTTGGGTATTAACGGGCCTAAAATAAGTTCAGCTGCGTCTAGTAACATAGGTAGAGGATCCTTGTAAGTTTTCTCACTTGTTACTGTGGCTTCTGCACTTGATTGAGCATTGGACTTGGACTCTATGGGACCATGGATATATCCCGATGATGCTCTCGCGTCGGACTTTGGCATTGGAGGACCGGCATGGGCTGTATCACTTCTAGCAGAAGGGGCCTATTGTGGGGTTTTGTTTTTAGCTCTTCCCTCTGTGCCAATAGTGTGTTTATCCTTACCTCAAAATGCAGACTTTGACTGCGAGTATCTTTCATACCGTCATTTATCGCTAGCGCAACAGTACCGTCACTCTGTGGCCTCACATTCTCTAGCCCTTGCAAAGTGAGTTCCCGCCCTGGAACTGTGATTGCTATCTCAATGAGGTCGGAGTCCTCATGCAGACGTGGTTTCTTGCGAGGGTGTGTCGTTTCTTCTATATTGTATCTGCTAAGTCCTTGACCAGAGCTTTGAGAAATGGAAACGCCGCTGTGGCTGTAGTTTCCCAGATGTCCCTTTGGAGCCTTTCGTTTATTCCCAATTCCTCTTGGTGACTCGTTCTCTTGTTGTGTTGCGGCTCGGCTAATGCATGCATACTGCCCCAACGGTGGAAGATGATGTGGAGGTGATGGTGGCAGCAATGCGTATCCTACCCTCTTGACATCCTGAATGTCAAGAAGTTCCTTCACATTAGGCTCCGGATTCCCCATTTCCTGCAAGTCTTTTGAGGGGCGTCTATCCTGTTCTGAAAGTACCGCTGGTTCTGGTTCCTGTTCCTGTTTAGGGGCCAGTGAAGGTGCTGATGCAGATGCAGGCGCAATTACAGACGGAAGTGCAGACCCGCATCTCCCTCTTCGTGTTTCTTCTTGTGTAAGTTGTTGTGGTTGCGGTAGCAACCCTGTTACCATCTGACGACCATGCGCTGGCAGGACTATCGGTGCTGGTGGAAAGAGACCTAGCCCTGGGAGCACTGGTTCACGGGGATGCGGAAGCTTCCGACTCTGTTGAGTTTCCGGTGATACTGGCGATGGCAATTGAGCTAGCTGCTGTGTCATGGCCTGCTGCTGGTGCATGGCCTGCCGTTGATCCATGGACCGCTGCTGGTGCATGGCCCGTTGCTGGGCTTGAAACTGAGCTTGATGGTTTGGTTTATGCTGGATTTGGGGCCGGGCTGTAGCTCGGGCTTTCGTAACTGGCTTTCGAGGGGTGGCCTGCTTTGTGGCCTGCTGTTTGGCTTCTCCCTGGACTTCATCGTTCTCTAGAAGCTGGCTTTGGTGCAAGGCTTGGGCTCGGGTCAGCATAGATTGCTTGCGAGGAATGGCTTTCTTCCTAGGCATGGGTTGCTGTTGGGCTCGGTCCTGCGCTTGACGGTTTTCTTGAAGGTGACCATGGGGCCTGGCTTGAGCTCCGGTTGGTCCATGATATGTCGCCTGGTATTGATTCTGAGCTTGGGGCTGTCCCTGATGTGGTGTATGGTATCCAACCTGAGCTTGGGGCTGTCCATGATGTGGTGTATGGTATCCAACCTGAGCTTGCGGCTGTCCATAATGTGGTACATGGTGTTGAGCCTGAGTTTGGGACCGTCCATGCTGTTCGATATGGTATTGAGCCTGAACCTGGGGCTGTCCATCATATTCTATGTGGTGTCGAACATTGAATTGTGACTGCCCAAGCCCTGGTATCTGGTGCCGAGCCAGGGATTGTGGCTGCTCGTGATGCGGTACATGGTACGGAGCTGGGGCTCGTTGCTGTTCGTGATATGAGGCCTGATAAGGAGCCGCAGCTGATGGATGTACCTGATATTGTATCTGGTAGGGAGCTGGGGCATGTGGAGCTCCTTGATATGGCACCTGGTGGGGAGCTAAGGTAGGTGGCCCTCCCTGATGGGTTACCTGGTACTGAGACGTGACAGATGGCCCCTCCCGGATGTTGTCTCAGATAAGGGGCCTGAGCTTGTGGGTGTTCTTGGTACGCCGGCATTGGATAAGGAGCTTGGCATAGTGGCTGACCATAATATGGCTGCACAGGGCGACCATGGCTTCCGCCTTGGTCCTGAGCGGCCCTCATCGCGGACCGATTACCCCGGTGTTGCTCCATGGGTATCAGATAGACCTGAAAGAAACG